AATTTATCTCATTATTAATTAATATTGTATAATTTGATGTAATTTAACTGCATGAAACATTTCATCAACCTCTATAAATATATCAAATTTTCTAATATGTACTTTAAATAGAGAAGATGTACTTAAACGTGATTTGATGTCACTAGATTTAAAAGTTCAAATGTAATTATTAAAATAGTTAAAGGAGAAAGAAATAAAAAAAAATCTATTTATTTTTATTTTTTAAAAATTTATTTATTTATTTAAATATAAAAAATATAAAAAGATAAAATTTTCTCCCTCTTCATTTCCTTCGTCTCGAAGTAAATATTTCACAAAGACTAAAGGCTTTGATTTGATGTTGAGACTTCCTCTCTCATTTCGAAACACCCAAAACTAACCCTTCTATTCTACCCCTAACATTCCTAGATTCCCAGTAGTAGTAATTTTTTATAGGTGGATGCATGGAATTTTTTTAACGCAAAAATTCCTAAGCTCAATCATCACCCAATCAACGGTTATCATTGCTGGAATCAAAAGATATGAATTAAAACTATGCGAAGCAGGAGATTACAGACCCCCCTGACACAACCATACGTTGAATCATGCATCAATAACTGCGAAACTCAGGACTATTGATAACTTAGAATTCCACGCGTGATATCCGAGAGTGAAGTGAACGGTGACGAGACAGCACACACAGTTCTTCCGCGCGTACCATTTGGGCGCGTGAGAAAGGGGGATCACAAAATGCATGGATCATGAAAGGGATGGGGATGGTCAGTTTTACGGGTCGGTGGCCATAACGTGCTCTCAGGTGGGGCCACACCGTTGACCGGTAACGTCCATTACTAACCAACACGTGCCGGTTAATCTTCCTTAATCTGTTGTTATCATTTTGCTCTTGGACTATAAACAAGCTTAATACTAATAAGTCTAAACTAGTCCTAAAGATTTCTTTTTGAAACTAATTGATCCCTTAACATATAAACATATGGACGGTGTTATAGAGATAATTTTTTTATATTATTTTTTGATATAATTTTTATATATTATTAAGTGAGTGGATGAATTTAATATTACAGGTCTTATATGAATTAAAAAATCAATCATTTAAATAACATGTCAAGTTATATTAAAATATTATATAAAAAAATTATTCCAAAATCACTTTCCAAATGTATAAATTGAGTCCATGAGAAACGATATTGATCAAGTCCTTCAACTAATTTACTTTTTCTTAATTAATTGATGTTTACTTCAACATGCCCATGCATAAGAGTAGATATATAAAATATAAAGAAGCAATGAATAAGTAGACACGAGTTGTTAAATATTATTGATTAGAAGAAGTTAATATTAAATTGAAGTTTAAATCAATAGTCATGTAAAACTCTATACATAAATAAGATATAAAAATTAAAGAAACAATAATAGATAAAAATATATTAGGAGCCAATTGTTCACTGGAGGGAGTTAACACTTAAAACTAAATCTTATGTTAGCAATCATGTGAAAGTTTGTATGTAGATATCATATAAACATTGCACAAATTGTTGGTTCCAAGGGTTTTACAATTGATAGAAATCTATACTAATTAACATTTATTTAAGAATTTGCACATGGATAAAAATTAAAATATAAAGAAATAATAATAATCTACACATATTCTTAACTAGGATTACACACTTGAAAAAAAGCCTATACCAAGATTCATGCGAGATTCTACACATTAATTGATTATTGAAAGGAAAAGAAGCAATGTTACATGTACATCATCGATTCTATGTTAACATTCACATTAATTGATTAGGTATAAGATCCAATTAAAAGCATAGCATTAACAATGAGACTAATGAATGCATATATGAATTTACTTCTTTTAACATTAATAGCAAATTAATACGGAGATTTGGTTAATCTAACCACCATAGGAAACTAAATTGATAAACTTTTTTTTGTGAGGGACCAATTTATTAACTTACGAATTCTATGGGGATTGCATATGTCATTTAGCTCGACAAACTTCCTTAATAAGAGAAAAGCTCTCTCTCTCTGGATACTGGATGATACAATACAGAGAGCGGTAGATCTCAAGCCTTTTGGTTGCAGGGTTCTTTTTGGGGCGCATTCGAACCGGAAAAAACGAAAATGAGAGCGAAAGATGCAGAGAATTGGAAGAAATAAAAGAGGAACAGAAAAGCAGCATCTGCTCTCACTCTTTCTTCTAATTGTATTATAAATTCCACTCCTTTGTCTCTTTTTGTTTCCGATCGCATGCTCTCGGTCTCATCCCTTTTGTCTTCTTTGTTTTTCTCAGATCGATCAAAACAAAACTTCTAGTATTTCCATTACCTTCCTCTTCATTCCTTAGAAATCAGATAACAGAATCTCTGAAAATATGGGTACTGGTTGGAGGAGAGCGTTTTGTACCACCATTCCAAGAGACCCAGAAAACAGTTCTGTCTTGGATAAGCAGCAGAGTCCCATTAGTCCTAGTCCTAGTCCGAGTCCGAGGAGTTGTACCCGGTTGGGGTTTTTCTCCGGTGGAAGCAATCCTGCTACTCCTCGAGTGTCCACTCCGACACTTCGTTGCCGGACTGGTACTACTGAAGATGAAAGCCCGAGATTGCAATGTAGAAACGCGAATACCCCCAAGTCCGTCAGGAGTCCGAAAACTTTAATCGGGTCGAACCCGTCTTCTCCCCGATCGCCACTCAAGCTCTCGCTCTTCAGAAATAGCTTCAAGTTCAGAGTAAGTATATATTGTTCTGATTTTATTGATTTTAAGTTGAGAAAAATAACGGGAAAGTTTGAATTTATGTTTTTGTTTAATTTTGGGTGCAGAGTAGTTGTGGAATTTGCTTGAACAGCGTGAAGACAGGGCAGGGCACGGCAATCTATACGGCGGAATGCTCCCACGCCTTTCACTTCCCCTGTATCGCCGCTCATGTTCGTAAACACGGCAAACTGGTTTGCCCCGTATGCAACACCACCTGGAAGGACGTCCCGCTGCTCGCCGTTCACAAGAATCGCTCCCCTGAAGACGACTCTGCTGCTTCTGTAGACGACAGAGGGAGCGCCGACAGCAACATTAAGCATAGAATTGAGGATAAGAAGATCATCCAATGTTCACCACGAGCCGTGAAGCCACAAGAATCGAAACCGAATCCTCTGGATGCGAGATCCTATGACGACGACGAGCCATTGCTATCTCCTACTGCTGGTACCCGCTTCATTCCCATTCCCGAAGCGGATGAGAACCTCGAACAAGAAGAGGATTACGAGGAAGAGGAATTCCAGGGGTTCTTCGTCAATCCGAATTCCTCATCCTCCATCAAATCTGATGAAATCTCGTTTAACGAACGTGAATTGGGGGGTGTTCAGGTAAGAGTGTTGCCTGAAACTGCCGTCATTTCAGTCGGCCGGGAGTACGAGACTTACGCGGTGGCTCTGAGAGTGAAAGCGCCACCACCACCGCCGAAAAGACCAGCTTCGAAGTGTACTAATACGGCGTCACTCTTGGACCCATCGCATCGAGCCCCTATCGATTTGGTGACGGTGCTTGATGTAAGCGGGAGCATGACCGGCGCTAAACTCCAGATGCTAAAACGCGCCATGCGCTTGGTCATTTCCTCGCTCGGCTCAGCAGACCGCCTTTCCATCGTCGCCTTTTCGGCTGCTTCTAAAAGGTTGCTACCTTTGCGGAGAATGACTGCGCAGGGCCAGCGCGTTGCCAGGCGCATCGTTGACCGACTCATGTGCAGTCAAGGCACCAGCGTTGGCGACGCGCTGCGGAAGGCCACCAAAGTGCTTGAAGATCGGCGGGAACGAAATCCGGTGGCCAGTATCATGCTTTTATCCGACGGCCAAGATGAACGAGTCCAGAATAACGCTACAAATCAAAGGCTTGGATCCAGCCACGTGTCTTCAACCCGGTTCGCTCACATTGAAATCCCTGTACATTCCTTCGGTTTCGGCCAAACCAGCGGCTACAGTCACGAGCCGGCCGAACACGCCTTCGCTAAATGCGTGGGTGGGTTGCTAAGCGTGGTGGTACAAGATTTAAGGATTCAGCTTGGCTTCCAATCCGGATCCACTCCGGCCGAGATCACCGCCGTCTATTCCTGCAACGGACGGCCTACGGTGTTGAGTTCCGGCTCGTTGCGGCTTGGAGATTTGTACGCCGAGGAAGAGAGGGAATTACTCGTAGAATTGAGAGTCCCGACATCCCTGGTGGGGATCCACCATGTGATGTCTGTTAGATGTCTTTATAAGGATCCGGCGACTCAGGAAGTGGTGTACGGCAGAGATCAGGGGGTTCTTGTCCCTCCGCCTCATTCCGGCGGCCGAGCAACGTCTCCCAAAATCGAACAGCTGAGGTATTTGTTTATCTCCACGAGAGCCATAGCGGAGTCGAGGAGATTGATTGAGCACAATGATCTGACCAGCGCGAATCACCTGTTGGCTTCGTCTCGAGCATTGCTGGTTCAGTCAAACTCAATGTTGGCTGAGGAGTACGTAAGAGCTCTGGAGGCAGAGCTAGCGGAGTTGCAATGGAGGAGACAGCAGATGGTGGAAGTCCAACGGAGGAGGACGAACGAGAGGGAGGCAATGCCAGTCGTGATGGACGAGAATGGGGAGCCGCTTACGCCGACATCCGCTTGGAGAGCGGCCGAGAAGCTAGCTAAGGTAGCCATCATGAAGAAGTCGATGAATCGAGTCAGCGATTTGCACGGCTTCGAAAATGCTAGATTTTAGTTTTTTTTTTTTTCCCTTTAAAAAAAAAAAAAAAAAAAGAGGACGATCCCAGATTCAATTGAGGAATTGACAAGGGGATGTTTTTTTTTGGGTTTTTCTTGTGCTTTCAATTTTCAGTCGTAGAAAGAAAGTGCTTCCTTATTATGTTAAGGATATTATTATTTGCAGATTTATTTTCTTTATAAATACTTGTTTTTATTAAAGGTAAATCTTTACAAATAAACTAAATTAATGTAATTTTGATTACTTGGGTTTATTTATTTAATTTGGTTAAATTAAAATATTCTCCTCCTTACTAATAGCTAAACTGATTCTTATTTTTGGGTAGATTTTTAATTTCAATCAATTAATCAACTCACAAATTTTGGTTCACTTCGAAAATCCATTTAGTTGAATTTAACCAAACTTATTTTTCTTGTACTTTCGGTACTTTTTTATACAAAATGATACTCCTGTTATCATGACTCAATAAAAAGTGAAACTCACGTCGAAAGCCTAGAGTTGAGAGTTTA